ATAGGGTAATAACATTTGTGGTCAATTTCAGGAAACAGAAACACGCTGGTAGGACAAGGCTAGCTTTAATAAGCTGCAACATTTATTGCATGATACCAAATGGGATCAAATCTTCTTTACCAAAGACAAGTGGGAGAGCTTTAGGGCCATTTAATCACTAGTGGGCTGACTACTTAATATATATGGTTCACTGGCGCATTGTTACGTTCGTTCATGAATACCTGTGTGCTAATGGCCGCAAACACTGCACCCTCAGCTTCCGCTGTCAGACAGTGGAGTTATGTACACAGAGCCAATCGGACAGGCTGTACAGTGTGTACTGTGATCACTGTGATTGGTTTACCCATCAGGTGCTGGCAGGAGTCAGTATAGTGGATGGTTGGGATATGGAAGTACAGGATCCAGGGGTAGGTAGTTAGGTTACAGTTAGAAGACTGGTAGACTTGCACCAGACCCTCCTGGACAAGTTGAATGTCACAGTGAATATTTTTGAGTTTGGTTGGTTGCTAAACATTGTAAGTCTCTTCTCTTCTCATCTCCCTGCTTAGAGTACCTACATTTAATTCTGGAAACCTATCTTACTCGAATCTTTCTGACTTTGCAGCAATTCCAGAACCTACACAGACCGTGTTCCAAAATTGTCTAAAGGGATTGTTGTTCCTACTTTCAGTTGTGCATTGTGAGTGTTTGGTCTCCTTGGTGTATCTTTCAAAGGGGTCCCCACTGCACAGTCTCATTCTCGGTCACTAGAACTAAAAATTCTCCAAAAGTAAGTGTCCAGCTTCTTTGGACAAGGAAATCTATCCCAGTGCTCAGGCGAGATTGTCTCTCAACTGGTGGCTAACATCTCTGATACTGATACTAGAAGAGTAGTTTTTACCTCTCTGCTGTAAAATTGTGACAATCGATGTAAGCTTCCACAGTTGGGGCAGTGTGCTGAACTCTCTGGCAAAGCTCCAAGGAGAAAGCTCTATTACTGATAAATGTGTTAGAATTGAGGGCCATCAAGCTGGCTCTGTTTTATTGGATGGATGACCTAAAGCAAATGTGTCAAACTCAAGGCCCAGGGGCCGAATCCGGCCCACCAGGCCATTTCCTAGACTTCTACTTTCAGATCTAGGTATTAAGTTCAGATCTGGTACTAAAACCAGTGTTAATCGAATGCAGAGGCAATTATCATAAAGATTAGATACATTTATATAGTCTTACAGGCCCTTTGAGTGCAACCATAATGTTGATGCGGCCCACGATTAAATTGAGTTTGACACCCCTGACCTAAAGGGTCATCCAGTAAGAGTTTAGTCAGGGAATGCTGCAATGCCAGGGAGGCAGCATTAAGTGTTCCAGCTTTCTCAGCAGTTACAACCCAGGCATAGACAATTGGCAGGCAAACTATCACAGTCTCCAACATCTAGACTTGGGGAAGTGTTCCAACCTTTATGTGTCCTTAGGGGGACACCGGACATCGATCTGCTGCATCTTACCTAAATGCAAAATTGGACAAAGTTATCACAAGGACTTTGGACACACTTGATGAGTTGGAAGACATTACAGTAATTATTATTGCTCTGTAATGGCCTTGCAGCCTTGGTGTGCTGATCTGGTCTAGTCCTTATCCCTATACCTACTAGGTATGTACTGAAAACAGCTGTCTAAATAGTATTCCTTTGGAATGTGAGGGGAAGTTATAATGTAGCTTGATTTTTGTTCACTAGTCCAGTGTCGTGTTATTTAGGTGAAATGAGGAACTTTTGAAGTTACAGTTGGTCATTGAGTTCATCGCAATTAACGTATGTTTTGGGGCTAATTGCTTTCTGCCTAGGGGTTGTCTTGTATAGAACTATTTAGACCGTGAATAGATCCAGTTGTGATAAAAGGTCAAGCTGCTAAATTTAGTTTAGACCGTTACATTGTTAGAGGCCAGTATACACTAAACACCTGCACCTGCATTAATATCAAATCATACAGTGAGATATGCACAGGTGTGACAAATAACAATTTTTTTGTAGCCATCATTTCAGCTAGGAAATCAAAATGAACAGTCTTGTCATGTACAGTAAGCCCTCTTTTCTTAGTTTGCATAAGGACAGGATGGTTTTACGACCGTGACTCTTTTTTACCTAAAGTCTTCCCTGCCTTTCATCTGAATAAAGATATCTTTGTCTTTCGCTTTGCCTGGCACCTACACATCCAGTGGAGGTTGAATTACATACGCTGGATGTGGTCAGGGCCATTAGGGTTTACCTACAGGCTACTTCATCCTTCAGGAAGACAGACTCCCTGTTTTGTTATTACGGATGGTCCCTGTAAGTGGCTTGCAGCTTTCTCTTCCACCACTGCCAGGCTGATAAGTACTTTGTGGACTTTTTTTGTCACCATGTATTTGTATCCTAGCTAAAGCAGTCACTTAGTCTTCAGTTATCTATAAAGTTCTACAAAGTTGATGTAGCTGTGTCGCCTGATGCAAATTTTGACTGTAAATTCCTACAGGCAGTAGTATGAATTATCTGCTGGGTTTGGGCTAATCCTGTTTATTTTTTCCCCCTTGTTTCACCTTGTTGTTGCACGCCTGTTTGTTTTGTATTGCTTATGGATGTCCCACTACTATCTGGTTGATCTTCAATCACTGCTGTATCTCAATCTCAATGAACAAAAGAGAACATTCTTACAGTAAAAAAAAATTCTCTAACTCCATTGAGAAACACAGCTCCCACCCCTGTTTGGTTGTTGGGCCTGTTGCCAAAGTTAACTGGGGTTTTTTTTGTACTGCTTGCTCTTGCTGCTCTGTGACAGATATGGGTTTAACCCCTTGCAGTCCGCCCATTGTAAAAATACGGGCGGACGGCTGGCTGATGCTTCCTGGCGGGTGGACGTACATTTACGTTATTGTTTTTCTGCTTGCGTGAGCAGAATCCCGCCAGGAATGTGTACAGCCGTAAATGGCTGTTATATACAACCGTTCGGCCGGCTCTATAGCCGACTGATCGCTTGTATAAACACACACAGTGCCGCCCCCCTCTGCTGACGAGCACCACTGCCCCCCCCTGCAGTGCCCGGGACCGAGAACACCAGCACAGAGAAGGAGGAGAGATCAGCATTCCCCTCCACTGATCTCTCCTCCTTCTCTCTCTAAAGGCAGAAGCGATGTTGGAGTGTGAGCAATAATTTTAGGGCCATTAATCACTGATAACACTAAACTGATGAGCGGTAACAGCTTTTAACCCTTTCGCTGCCAAGGACGTACGGCATACGGACCTACAAAAGTGCTTCCAGCTGGCCAGCTCAGTATGCCGTACGGACCTGGCATTTACAGTTCTACTATAAGCTGAGCGACCATCAGCTTATAGTAGAACTGTTCAGCAGACTGTCCCCTTTAAATTAATAGCTGTCATCAGCGGCTCACAAGCCGCTGATGACTGCAAGGCATGGTAGTTTTTTACGATTTCGCGGGCACACACAATTTTAAAGAAAATTGGGTGCTGATAAATGTTTTACAACATAACGTAGGGAAAACAGGTATTTTTTCGAAATTTTCAAATGAGTCAAAGTACTGCAGCGCTGAATACTGAAAAATGGCCTAGACAGGAATGGGGTTTAACACCACGGTCAGCAAGTGGTAAAGCCTATTTCCACCTTTTGTAAGTGATTTGTATTTATTGTATCAATGTAGAGGTGCAGGAATGAGTCACAGTGCTGTTTTTTATACTTTCTTTTACTGGGCTGTTTAATAGGCCAGAGTCCTGGAAATTCAAAATTCCCTCCAGGGGAACTTCAGTCCGACTCTGAGGGTCAGGTTGTTATCTGCTAAATGTAATCAGCTGTGTTCTTCTCTGCTGGGCTGATAGGACTGTGCTGACCCTGCCCTCTTCTCAGGCACGAGCACACACAGGTGCCAGCTATCCTGTGTACTCAGCTCTTAGAAGCAGGATCTGTGACAGAGTAGGGAGCTGAAGAAGAACTCCTCCCTGTAAGTCATCAGAAGACATCTCTCCTCCAGGCTCTGCTTGTGCTTTGGAGGAACGAATTCCTCCACATGTTGTAAGGGTAAAACTGTCTCCTAAACTCTCTATCACTCTGTTTTGTGTGTCTTACTCTGATCTGTCTGTCTCTCTCTGATCTGTATCGCTGGGCGGTCTCTGTCTCTCGCCACACTTTCGCGCTCTCACTGGGCTCTTTTGCTGGACTGTTGTGCTCTTGCTGAACTGTCACACTCTCGCTGGACTGTCTGTCTCTCTCACTGCACTGTCACGCTCTCACCGAGCTGTCTCTCTCTCTCACCACACTGCTATGCTCTCGCCAGGCTGTCTTTCACCGCACTGTCGCTCCTGTCGGGCTATACCTGTACCATGCGATTAATGCACCGCATAGGTGTAAATGGGCCCTTATGGATTTTGAGGGTTTCACCACAACAAAATTGCCATTTGTGTGTATATGTATTGTATACACATTGTCCAGGTTTTTTGTGCACCTAGTGAACTGCTGCTTTAAATTGAAGCATAACCCCCCTGGTATCTTGCTGATCTTGCTGTGTCACTCAATTTTCTCTGAGTTAATTTAGGAACACAGCTGCTGCCTCCTTTTTTGTTAGGCCTGTTGCCTATCTTAAGAGTTGGGTTGTCCCTTGTACTGTTTGTTACTAACTGAGCTCTCTAGCAGATCTGGAGTTTAGGTGATGCTGGTTCCTTAGGTTTTTTTTGTACATCTAGTTTCCTCCTCCTGTCCATCAGTAAACTTAATTTAAGGGTGAGTATGAAAATTCTACCACCAATTATGGTGGCTTAGTTGGTGTGCAAGGGTAATACAATAATAGTTTGCTTCTCCTTTTCCTTTAATAAGGCATATTAAAAAATAGGCTAATTATTTTTTGTAGATGCCACAGACAGTTTTGTTTAATCACGGCCTTATTGCCATTGTATGGCTACAGACAATATTTTCTCATAAATGTTTAAGGAGGCAGTTTGAGAAAAGTAATCGGTATAACTGTTCTGTTTTGTTTTTAGGCTTCTCGAAAGGAGTTGTATGCCCGTGATATCCTATCCATACCCTTCATTTCTGCGGTTAATCGCAAGCGCAGAAAGCGGAGAGATGAAAAGCGCTTTGGGAGCAGCACAGAGGAGGATGACTCTGAGCAGGAGGTGACACGAGTAGGACAAACAGAGCAAGGGGCTGAGGTCAAAGAAACGCAAAGAGTGTCCAGGGAATGTGAAGATCCAGACTGTCCTAAGCCACAAGAGCAAAATTCAACCAAGCAAAGAGATACTGCAGCTGAGAACAAAGAGTCTGGAAGCAGATGGACAGCTCCTGTAGGAGAGAGGATTCCTGCTGATGCCAGGTCTATTGTTTCTGGCTACTCCACACTCTCTACACTGTGCTCAGAACCAGCCTCTAGTTTGCGTGGAGGAGAGGAGGCTGATGATGAGCGCAGTGAATTCAGTCACATGGAAACTGACACAGAGGTGGGTGGAGGAAGAGAAACAGAACGGCCTCACTCTCAGGATTCATTTACCTCTCAGAGGCTTATTCCTGGGGATACTCTAGCTCGCAAGAAATTGGGGAAGGGTAAACAAGAAACCTCAGAAGAACCAGCAGCTATTCATTCTCGTACAACACAGCGCACAAGACCAGCCGTGGATGACCTGTGTGTAACAGCAATGAGGAAACCTGGATCTCCAGAAACACGTCGTAGAAAAAGTGCATGGAGACGTCACACTGTGGTGCTTCCAGGGCAGATGACTGATCTTAACTTTAATGACTGGAAGGAGCCAGCTCATGGGACAACAGGAGCATCTGAACCTGGGGTCGGGCAGAGTGGAGGAGCCCGGACAGAAGGGAAAGATTCTGGACTCAGTAGTTTGGAATCTCAGAAAGCCAAAACACTAACTGGTCAGGAATTGTTAACCAATAAGGGGGCCAAATCCCAGTATCCCCCTCTTCCTAGTCTCCGGCATTATTTGTAACCTTTTTAAAAATGTCTTTTGTTTCTGCAACCAGGGTGGAGTTGTAGTGGAGAGCTGTCCTGTCTCTGTACAACCTGAGCACACAACCTGCACTCATCTGTCATTCAAAGAACTTGGCTACACACCCTACATGGAGTAGACATCTAATTTGTCCTGTTAGTCTATGTAAATCTTAACATTTTCCCTCACACTTTCTAACTGCATATTTACAAGTTTTAACCTGTGTTGACATAGGCGAGATTTTCAAAAGGAGAAGAAAGGAAAAAACTTACCATGCCACACTGTTGTTTCTCCAGCATCTCCCACATTCGTGTTGAGAGAAGTGGATTAACAATGCAGTCTCTAAAGTCCTGAAAATAAACTTTTCTGCAGATGACGCAGAATTCAGCAATGAGACACCCAAATTTACTCTGGTGCCTTACTTCCTTTTTTTTCACATATAATCCTTTTACCTAGTCATACTACTAAAACTTTGTGAGGGGAATGGTGTCATGTGCACAATATAAAGGGCTGTAAAACTGCGCTCTACACATGCACAGTACCACATTTTCTGGTATATCACCTATATCAAATGTTGCCGTATCTTAGGCTAATCCTTTAAGTGAATATGTGGTCAAACTATGGACAATTATGTATTTACATATTCTTAACAAACAGGTAAATAAACTTTAAAACAAAGCCTCACTGAACTCTGTTGCTCCATGCACTGTGGATTAATTAATCTGAAAACTTCAAAGCAGTAGCCCTAAGGCTGTTTAAATATCTGGGCTCTCTAAGCAGTTCAGCTCACCCTGCCTCCCCTTCCCAAACAACCTGCTTTCTGTTTACATTAGAAATAAGAGGTTTGTTAGTCTGCCAAATCACTGCTGGCAGGGGAGAGCTGAGTTGGATCAGAGAATGACTATAATGCCTCTGCTGTGAACTTTAAGGCTTCATTCACGCAACTTTCCTGCATCGCTTGTTGCAATATTAGGTGCACTGCGGTGTCATTATTTCTTAATGGCACACCAATGCACCTAGTCATTGCATGTGCATTGTATCGCACCACATCGCATGGTAGCCTATTACCATGCAATGTGGTGTGATTTTTTTTTTTTTAAAAGGTGCATGCACTTCTTTCAGTGCGATTTAGCTGTGGTAGGCAGCCTATTCAAATGAAGCACACCATAAGTGCACCCTACAACGTCACATTGCAAAGATGTGAATGAAGACAATTGATAAATTGCTTATTTTAAAGCACTGTTAAGAATATCTATATTTGAGAGTCGTTAATTGAACACCACCAGCTACACTTTAAAGTTAGTAAAGAAACACATAGTATTATGACCATCTCTGTAGTTGTCTTTTAGTCAATGGCAGAGTATTAAGGCAGTGCAATGATGAGTGCAGTTTTGCAGCAACCACCAAAATTATATTCACTTTTACTTAAGCAGTAAGAACATTGGTGGGTGATAAGAGTGATAACTTAATAAACTTTGACCTGATGTAACCCACCATTTTAAGGTATGAACCGAGCATTCAATTACCCAAATCGTATATAAAATGGGGGCTTTATTGATGCTCATGAACTAGATATGAAAACCATGTTACTCATAAAATCATTTAATATTTATTGGTTCCAAAATGTTAAAAAACAAACTATAATACAAAATGCATTAAACCTGGATTAAAAAGGGAAGAAGCACAGAGTGTGTACATAGCACGTCCAGGACCATGAACTATATCTGCTGTTGGTCCATATTATTATCCAGTAGATTGTTTTTCCCAAATGTAGATGTTCAAGATATTGAAGATATAGTTCAGCATAGGACTTAATTCTCAACGTGTTTCACATTCATGCTTCTTCAGGAAAGGGAAGATTTTCACTGAAAATAAGTTTATGAAGAGATGAAAACAACATACCAGCAAATAATATGTTTCAAGAAGGTACCCTTAGAACAAAAGCTTATACATATGTAATACAAATGTACTTCAAAAATAGACTTGCAAATGCTGTCCATGAAGAGCAGTGAGTGCTCTTAACCACCCTCCCAACGGGACCGCCAGGGGGTAAAGATAAATAATGCCTGGGGAGCTGATGGAGGAGCTGGTGCAGTAAATCTGAAAATAAAACCAATATGGGTAGATACATGTTAATGGAATACCAACTAGTTAGTTAATAAATGGTTAATGACAGAGTGCAGGGTAGGTACAATAACCTAGCTTTCAACAACTACTATCAAGAGGATTGCAAAGGTTGATTATAAAGATAATATTTGAGAGGCCACAATGAGGGAGAGAGTGAGGTGTCAAGAGTAGGGCTGCAGCTAAAGATTATTTTCACAATCGATTAGTTAGCCGATTATTAACTTCGATTAATCGGATAAAATAAACAAATAATAATACCGTAATTTATTTAAAATAAAATACACAAATGCAGTGTTACAGACATAGTTTACTTCAGAATAAAATGGTATGCACATTTTTTGAAATCGCACTGCACTGGAACGCAGGGCATTGCAGTACCACGTATCCCAGTGCAGGTGATCACACTGCAGAAGGGAGGTGCATTTGTGATCCATTGAAATGAATGGCACTGCAACGCACCTCCTGCACCAAAATTTGTCAGGCCAAAACTGAAAATGACTTTTCCCACCATATATATATATATTTATGTATATATTTTTTTTTTTAATTGTATGTATTATAGTAGACATTTTAATTAGTTTCATGGATTCAAAATAATGTGAATTGTAAAACTCTAAGCCAATATAATAAAATAACCAAACTTTTATTTAAAATAATTATA